GATTCTGTGTGTATGCCTAGTGCTTGGCACAGTAGGCATGCAACAAAGCACCCTTTCCTGGAGGAAGGATGCTACACAGTGATTTGACTCTGTTTTCCCCATTAAGACACTCTTCAGAGAACACATGCAATTTTTATTTATCTCCATTATGAGCCGGTAGCGGTGGTGAGTCAGTACATGGAAAATATACCGTTTTGTAATCCACTTGCGCTGCATTTTCTGTTTTGTTTTGTGTTCCGCCCCCTCTCCCCCAAAGATTGTCTTCCAAATTATTGAGACTGACTTTGAGATTTATCGCTATTCTGTCAGCCCCAATACCAAATAACCGTAGAGAATTAGTTCAGTATTAAACTGAATAAAATGAGAAACGAGGTTGGGGCTTGACTGTGGATTACTGTAATTAAAAAAGATGGTGATAAAAATGTGTGTAATTAAGAAGATGCAGTATTTTCCCCTCAAACTTGCCCCATTATGCCCTGGCTGGTGTGGCTCAGTTGGATGAGTGTTGTCCCATGGACCCAAACGCCACTGGTTTGATTTCCAGTCAGGGAACATGCTTGGGTTGCAGGCTGGATCCCCGGTAGGGGAGGTGCAGGAGGCAGTGGATGTTTCTCTCTCCCATAGATGTTTCTCTCTCTCTCTCTCTCTCTCTCTCTCTCTCAAATCAATAAACATAATAAAAAGAAATTTTCCCCTCATACAAATTTAAATATTTGTTGGTGCTTCTAAATCCAAATGGGTAGGGTGTTTATTCCAGTTGTTCCAGTGACACAAGGAAGTGGCTGTGACGGCATGAGACCGAGATGATTGACATCTAATTAGACTTGTTATTGAACTTTTTTTAAAGTCTCCATCACGATACATCATTAAGGCATATTATATGCTCCAGTGTTTTTTGAAGCATAGTACTACGCAGAAACATCCCCTCTGTAGATTAGCACATTAATACTGACTATAGTTAATTTCAGTCAAGATTGGCCCTTACAGATTACTTCACGTTATTTGTAACGTCAGTATTTGAACAGTGATTTTTTTTTAACACCTGAACTTTTTATTGTTAAGGTTTTACTTTTTTTGACTATCAGCCCATAACCTCAAGCCCTTTTAAATAAGCACCCTCCTAATTGTCCCTCTGTTACTGCCAATTATAGTCCTTGAAAATGAACCGCATCTAAGGAAGAGTTTGTGTTTAGTTAAACAACTTTTTTTGTTCCATTGAACAGAAGTACATGTGCTAAAGTGTCATTTTAAGAGTTCTGAGGCTTTAAAAAATATTTTCCTGTGACATATTAATTTAAATTATTCTTACAGGTTGTTCCATATTATTAAGAAGGGAGAAATAAATTGAGGGTTAAAGACCTTGAAAAAAAGCCAACCACTTATATTTTTAGTTTATATGCTGAAACATTCTTGTGAAAAGACCTCTATGTATGTGAGTTATAAATTAAAGCCATGGAATATACCTTATAGAAGGAATCGTTTTTAAAATATAAGGTTAAAATAGAATAAAAAGCCATTATGTTCTTAACCAGTGAAAATTAATTTAAAATATGTTCTTGTTCATGCATTAACATGGCTGTTTCTTTATATAACTAATTCTCCAGCAGCGGCTTCATAGTAATTTGTCTTTGGGCAAAAGATGGATTTTGTTCTATTTTTTGAAGAAGGCCCTATGTGTCAGGTTGAGTCCATAATAATGGGGCCATGAATTACTATCGCTTGCTTATTCCAGGTGACTCAGGGCCCTTAGTGAGATATTTCTCCATGTGCTCATCTGTTCAGTCTTTTCATCCCATTGGCAGGATAAATTCAGCCAGATAGTTCATTTCACTCAATAGTAATTCTGTTTATGTGACTGGTACTATAGAGCGTACTGTCTGCTGTGGTATTCACTAGTCCAGTGATGGCGAACCTTTTGAGCTCGGCGTGTCAGCATTTTGAAAAACCCTAACTTAACTCTGGTGCCGTGTCACATATAGAATTTTTTTTATATTTGCAACCATAGTAAAACAAAGACTTATATTTTTGATATTTATTTTATATATTTCAATGTCATTTAACAAAGAAAAATCAACCAAAAATTGAGTTCGCGTGTCACCTCTGATGCGCGCGTGTCTTAGGTTCCCCATCACTGCACTAGTCACATGTGGCTCTTTAAATTTCAGTTAATGAAAACTAAATGAATGAAAAATGTATAAAAGCTGCTTACATTAAAAAGGCAGTTCCTCAGCTGCCCTGGCCCTATTTCATGTGCTCGATAGCCACATGTGCTAGTGGCCGCCACGGGCACGGTAACTGCAGGACATTTCCATCATCTCGGAAAGTTCTCTTGGAGCTCACTGACCTAGATTTTGCAAATCACTTGCAGGTCCATTTACTCCCTTGACCTTCACAATAATCCTATAAAATGGCAAGGCGTACAATATTGATTATATCTGTGAGGATGAGGATACGGAGGTGCCAGGAGATTGCATAATGTATCTTTCCACAGAATTTGACTTATAGAATTTCCCTCAGGAACAAACAAATGCAAGTAAAGGTGAATGTAAATGACTAAAGGATTTTATCTACAAATTTTGGTCTTTAACTATGAGTAATTTAAAGGCAGAGAGGTGGTCTAGCTTGTTTACGGTTGTAAACTGATATTTATCACGGAGAGGGCACAGTTAAACTCTCAGTAGCTACTTAACTACTGATTGGATGCATCAAGAGTTGGTCCAAACAGAATTTACAGTTTAGTAGAAATTGTAAAGTGTGAATAACCCTATCAAAGGGACTACTGAATTAATGGGTTACAATTAAAGTTCTGGTTAGCAAAAGAAGAAAAATCAAAACTTATCATCTTTATTCTGCTTCTGATCTCTTCCCTAGTATAATCATAGCTAGGGAATATGTTTTTTTCTATTTCTTGCTATGTTTAACTATTTGAAAAGTTTGAGATAATTCTTTGAATGTGTAGCTCTATTTCCTGGCAATAATGTCCAATAAACACTTACTGCACACACTTCCCTTGCAGAGCTGTTCTTGCTGTGTATTTATGTTTAACCTAGAAAATAATTGTTTTACGTTAACGTTTGGGAATCATGAAAATAAAATGTAGTCAATTGTCTTAGGCATGGTCTCCTAAATTAATAAACTACATTTTATTTTAGAAGGGCATTTAAATGATATACATCACTTATATTTCACCATGACCAGAATGTAGATCTTTTTTTTTTTTTGGAAAGAGAAAGGAATGTAACACTGAGTAATTATGTTTTCCAAAGTTGGCTTTATAAAATGCATTCCATTTTGGGGCAAACTTTAGTTGCTTTAGTCACTGCAGTGCTAGGTTAAGGTGATGACTCGACTGTGTCCTCATGGGGTCTGGCTCTGACGTCTGTCACATCGCTGATTGGTAGGTGCTGCCTAAGAGGGGGGCCCATTCTTCCCCTTCTAGTTACCTGATGCTCTGCTGGTGACAGGCTGAAATCTGTGCGCTTGCCATGGTGGGTATAGACATTGTCAAAATGAAACGTTGTCCTCCTTCCTTTGAAGGCGGTGGGAGACCTTCATAAATGATTGTCTCGATGTACTGTACATGTTGAGCTATTTGATGTGTTCATGTGCATGCCCTACAACTGTAATATTGGAAATACATGTAGAGGTTGCCCCAGTGGAGGAAGCTACTGTTCAGAGAGGTTACGTCATTTGATCACGGTCACTACTGTCTCTAAGTGAAGAATGGACTTCAGTCTTAGTCCTGTGCAATCGCGGTACAGACATCCCTCTCAGTGTGTTGGAGGAATACTGTCTGCATATCAACTAGAACCTTTTACATGATTTTGAGAAGCTTGAGACTTTTCTCCTGGTGTGATTTGGGTATGAGCAGTGATCACACATGTCATTTTTGAGCAGCTGTTGAAGAAGGCGGAACATGATTATGCCACGTGCTTACTGTATGACATCTGGTCCTGGAAACACTCAAAAACTCTCTGATAGATGAAAGCAAACCTCTCTCCCTCCTTGGAGCATTTCAGTCAAAGACTCTATTTTAAACCAGGAATTTTGGCTGCTCGGTGGTGGCCCTTAGTAAACTGCCCATTGACGTGCACACCGGAGAGGGAGTGAGGATTTTATATAAAGTGCCCTTTGAAGGCCTTCTTGCCTAGATACTATACACATTTATAATGAAAATGCAAAGCGGTGGTGATTTTTATGGTAGAATTTTTGCATTTTGGCCTTTGAACGATCCTCTTAGGAGGGGCTGGGCCTTTGCTAGGAGATAGAACTTTAATGCATCCCTGTTCTGTTTTCTTTTTTTCATTTGTCCTCCACTGGGAAACATTTCAAACCTTTACATTGGTGCTTCTTCACCAAGACCTCAAGCCCACTGCATTCATTTCACTTTTAGCCTTAGAATGCATGCTCAGGCTCTATAATTATAAGCCATTTTGAGTGGTCGTGTCAGTATCATTGTTTTACCCCCAAAAATGAATGTCATCTTGGCCTGCAGTCTCATTGCTGTAGAAGCTGAATAGAGGATTCCCTTGAAGAACCTCTGCATTGAGTAATCTCTGAGCAACTGCCTCCGGTTTTGACAGCAACACTTAGTTTTGTCAGGAAAAATACCCACATGGTCTGGATGCTTTTGTAGGAAGTGGATTTGAAGGAGGCAGTAGTAAAACCTACTTTGTAGAAAATGGTTTTCTTCACCTTTTTTTTTTTTCCTGAAAAGTATATCTTATTAAATCCTTTGAATTAGTTCTAGTCCTTTTACTACTTACACTCTTCTGATACTTTGGCCCGAAATGTTTAACATAATGAGCCTCTCATCGAGTAGCTGTTGAATAATGGAGAGTGGATTTATTTGGCTCTGATTATTCAAGTGATTTCCTAATAAGCAGAAGTACTATTGTATTCTTTTATGTGGAACACTTGCCCGTGCCCTCTCCTCCCTCCTACGCAGAGCATGGCATTCATGACACCTTGTAAAGTAACATCCGTCTCTTCTATACCAGGTCACTTCAGGTGGAACCTTCATCGGCATTGGACGGAAAACACCAGATTGCCAAGGCAACACCAAGTACTTCCGCTGTAAATTCTGCAATTTCACTTACATGGGCAACTCTTCAACTGAACTAGAACAACATTTTCTTCAGACTCACCCGAACAAAATCAAAGCTCCTCTCCCCTCCTCTGAGGGTGCCAAACCTTCAGAGAAAAACTCTAACAAGTCCATCCCTGCACTTCGATCCAGTGATTCTGGAGACTTGGGAAAGTGGCAGGACAAGATCACGGTCAAGGCGGGCGATGACACTCCTGTTGGCTACTCAGTGCCCATCAAGCCCCTTGATTCCTCGAGACAAAATGGTACAGAGGCCACCAGCTACTACTGGTGTAAATTTTGTAGTTTCAGCTGCGAGTCATCTAGCTCACTGAAGCTGCTAGAACATTATGGCAAGCAGCACGGAGGAGCGCCATCCAGCGGCCTGAACCCAGAATTGAATGACAAGCTTGCCAGGGGCTCCGTCATTAATCAGAATGATTTGGCCAAAAGTGCAGAAGGGGAGCCCATGACCAAGGCAGAGAAGGGCTCCAGCGGGACTAAAAAGAAGGACTTCTCCAGCAAGGGGGCGGAGGAGAATGTGGTGACCAGCTACAACTGTCAGTTCTGCGACTTCAGATATTCCAAAAGCCACGGCCCCGATGTCATTGTCGTGGGGCCACTCCTCCGTCACTATCAGCAGCTCCATAACATCCACAAGTGTACCATCAAGCACTGTCCATTCTGTCCCAGAGGCCTCTGCAGCCCAGAAAAGCACCTTGGAGAAATCACTTACCCGTTCGCCTGTAGAAAAAGTAATTGTTCCCACTGCGCGCTCTTGCTTTTGCACTTGTCTCCTGGGGCGGCCGGGAGCTCGCGAGTCAAACACCAGTGCCACCAGTGTTCGTTCTCCACCCCCGACGTGGATGTGCTCCTCTTTCATTACGAGAGCGTTCACGAGTCCCAGGCATCGGACGTCAAACAGGAAGCCAACCATCTGCAAGGAGCATCGGACGGGCCGCCGGCTGTCAAGGAAAGCAAGGAACACTCATGTACCAAATGTGATTTCATTACCCAGGTGGAAGAAGAGATTTCCCGACACTACAGGTAAGCCAGGGGGCAGGGACAGGGGGCACCGAGAAATTGATAGAATACAGGGGGCTGATCCAGAAATGGTTGGGAATGATTGTGGTGACCTGGGGAAGTTACTGAGCAAGATCACCTAAAACAGTGGTTCGCAACCTTCTGGCCCTTTAAATACAGTTCCTCACGTTGTGACCCAACCATAAAATTATTTTCGTTGCTACTTCATAACTGTCATGTTGCTACTGTTATGAATCGTAATGTAAATATCTGATATGCAGGATGGTCTTAGGCAACCCTTGTGAAAGGGTCTTTCAACCGCTAAAGGGGTCGCGACCCACAGGTTGAGAACCACTGACCTAAAAGGTCATTCATAAAACTGCAGGATATATATATAATTCCAATTATAATATATATATATATTTAATTGATTTTTTACAGAGAGGAAGGGAGAGGGATAGAGAGTTAGAAACATCGATGAGAGAGAAACATCGATCAGCTGCCTCCTGCACACCCCCTACTGGGGATGTGCCCACAACCAAGGTTCATGCCCTTGACCGGAATCGAATCTGGGACCTTTCAGTTCGCAGGCTGACGCTCTATCCACTGAGCCAAACCAGTTAGGGCTGCAGGTTATATATTTATAGACAACCACAGATTCTAATTGAACCGCTTGTTTCAGACCATTTATTCTCTGTTCCCTGTTGTTGTTGTTTTTACCATTTACTGAATGCATTTTAAAATCCACAGTGATGCTGATAATGCCGATGATTTTACTAATTGACCACAATTCATTTATTTGTCCCTGCTAAGTATGGCTCTGTATTCCATAATTTTTTATGGAGCCACTCCAAAATGCAAGGTACCGCTATAATTTGTTCTGTTTTTTATTTCAACCTGGAGAGAGTCTGTTTGAGAACATGTTGCTCACTTTTCTTTTAAAATGAGATTGGAGCCTTAACCGATTTGGCTCAGTGGATAGAGCGTCAGCCTGCGGACTGAAGGGTCCCAGGTTCGATTCCAGTCAAGGGCATGTACCTTGGTTGCAGGCACATCCCCAGTAGGAGGTGTGCAGGAGGCAGCTGATCGATGTTTCTCTCTCATCGATGTTTCTAACTCTCATCCCTCTCCCTTCCTCGCTGTAAAAAAATAAAATTAAATTAAAATAAAATAAAATAAAATAAATCAATAAAAATATATTTTAAAAAGTAAAATAAAATGAGATTGGATATTCTTTGTGCTTTAAAAAATCGAGCAACAACCTTTTCTTTGCATACAAACAGTAAATATGAAGGTGAGAATTCCGTAATATGTGTGACTAGGATTCCAGTACTCACTCCTGCTGAAGTTACTTCAGATTTGTAAACAGAGTATGTCAGTGTTTCCTGCTCCTTTTGCTCTATTCTTTTTGTAAATGTTAATTTTCCCAGTTAATTTTTGTATTTTCTAGAGATGAGTTTAGGATATGTATCTTTATTTCATTTATGTACTCATTCCTTAACTAATTAATTCCAAAAATACACATTATGCCCAGTACTGAGAAAAGAGAAAATAAGACAAACATAGTCAGTGGCCTCATGGAACTTAGTTTAGTAGGGAAGCTTAACAGATCTTCAGAATGATGGGTATCTTAAAGATGAAGCAGAGACCACTATATTTGAATACAATGACAACATAGCCCAATATGGTAGACTAGAGGCCTGGTGCACGAATTCATGCATGGGTGGGGTCCCTCGGCCTGGTTGGCGATCAGGGCCAATCGGGGCTGTCTCGGTAAGTCCCAATTGGGGCTGAATGGGGCCCGCTGGCCAGGGGGAGGGGCCACGGGAGGTTGGCCAGCCATGGAAGGTTGGCTGTAGGAACGTACTGACCACGAGGGGGAAGCTTCTGCATTGAGCATCTGCCCTCTGGTGATCAGTGCACATCATAGCAACTGGTGGACTGGTCCTTCAGTCGATGGGTCGTAACAGTCTCTTAGGTTTTATATATATATATATAAATATATATATATATATATATAAATATATATATATATGTATATGTATAGATATAGATATAGATATATAGATTAGGAAATGCCTCCTTGAGGAAGGAGCATTTAAACTGAGACTTGCTTATAAGTAGGAATTAGCGTAGCAAAATCCTGATGGTACAGCGTGTTCAGGTATAACTTAGCACTTATTAGATGCTTTTCTGTTATTATGCCTTTAAGCATCAAAGTAAAGAGATTTATTGACGATTTAAGTGCTTTTCCATATGTAGACTCGATTTCCTAACTTACAAATTTTCACTTCTCAAGATCTTAAACAGGTCCTCCTCCCATTCTTTTTAAAAGTTGCAGGTTCGTGCTAGTGTGTGTATGTTTTCTCAGTCGCCAGTAGTGAAGCCGTTCAAGTCCAACAACAGCAGGCTAATGATGTGAGATGTTAATTTGAAGGGCCTCCTCATGTTCACAGCGCATGTGAATGTTCAGAAAACACTTCCTTAAGATCTGCACTGTTTAATTTATAAGGTCAGCTGTAGGAAAGATACAGCCCTGCAATCAGATATGTTCACACTTGCAGTGTTTCTGGCTCCTCTGATGTTAGCTGCATGTTAATTTGTTCTTGAGACTCGCAGACCTTCGCTTTCTCCCGAGCTTTACCGGTGTGCGTACTGTGCGTGCACATGTGTCAGGTGATGTGAAAATTAGGTAATCCACTCTTGTTTTGAAGGAGGAGGCTTTCTTCAATCATGAGGGAATCGGCCACAACACGCACACGCAGCCACACACGCACACACAGGCACACACGCACACACTATGATACATCTAGATACCCCGTCATTGAGATGAGTGGTTTTTCTCGAGGAAACTGAGGCCATTGCCTGAAAACCTGTCTGTAAAAAAAAAATAGTCCCTCTATGCTTTGGTGAAACAAAAGAGATCCTAAGACATAAAAGTATGAATAACAAATATGACTGAATAATCTCAAAGCTTACTTAATATTTGCTAGGGAAAGTAAGCTTCAGAGGGAAAAGAGACGAGTCTTGTGTTGTGACTGCTGTGTCTGCATGATTTAGCACTGTGCCAGGATGGCTAAGAGGTGCTCAGCGAATATCTTTAAGTACATGAAATCCCGGTGAGATTTTGACTTCACCGTAGTTTGAATACGCTGAGAGCCCCGTGGTAAGTTAGAGTTTAATCTTTGACTATTACAAGGTCTTGGAATCCTTCTGAGGACCTAGATTTTAGAAAAACTGACGTTTTCCTTTGCACTTTGTTTTTGGAAAATTTATCTTTATTGTTGGAAGTATTACAGATGTCTCTCTCTTTCCCCCATAGAACCCCTCTACCCTGCCCCCCTTCCCCGACCTTCACTGCACTATTGTGTCCCGGGTTATGCATACAATTTCTTTGGTTAATCTCTTCCTGCCCTCCTTCCCTCTGACGTTTGTCATGTTCCATGCTTCCATGTCTCTGGATCTATTTTGTTCATCAGTTTATTAAATTTAGGTCCACCTCTCAGTATTTTTTTAGATTAAAAAAAAATTGAACAACACTTGTCCTTAGGGCATTAAAATGATCTTGCCCTTATTCTTAAAACCTGATGGAGTTTGTATGATCCTAGACTCTTTAAATTGCTGAGCACTTTACCTCTAATATTTTTATGAGTTCTTGTAGAAATATTTGAAACTCAGACAATTACAATTTCAGGAGTCCCAGCCAGTGGAGGCTGCAGGGATGTGAAAGAAAGTAGTCACATGGAAGTCAAAAACGTTGACCTGCTATCAAAGTATTTTCCCCAAATGGCACAGTTTGAAGATAGCATAAAGGGACAAGTTTACCATATCACAATAATGTCTTTATAGTTAAATTTATGTTTATTCATTATTATTTATGTTGGGAAACTTTCACCATAATTCTGCTTTACTGTGCAATAGTCTAGGGTTTTGAGTGTTTTATATACAAGACTTACAGCGTAGTAAAATGGTAGTATAAGCTGAGAACTGTACAATATGTGAAATCATGTAGCTATAAAATAACTACAGCTAAAAAGCAGGAGAGCTGATTTAGAGCTGTGAGTGGAAAAACCTCAGTGTGGATTGCATGGGCATTTCCCCAAAGAACCACATCTAACCTGGGCTGAACTGCAGGCATTACCCAGTCAGTATCTGGAACTTGGTCAGTTTTCTTAATGTTTCGTATTTACTTTTGATGTCCCAGCTCCCAGCATGACTGAGTTATTATATCCACTCATGAATTTGTATCTCACACTCCATTTCTTTTAGTATTTAATTAAACAGTGTACTCCTTCTCTAATTGGCTACTATTCTCCTTGTCAAAATTTTCAGTGTTATAAAGTTATGTTTCTGGAGTAAGAGGAATACTTCCTTACAAGAATGACTATACTATATAAAATATACGTTTTTATGCCTTGCTAGACTTCCATGAAGTAAGGGAACTTTCTGAAGCTTTTTTCTTCTCTGTTCACCAAGAGTGAGCTAAACCCAGACTGAAGAGAATGAGGCAAACATGGAAGGTGAGGCCTCACTGAGGGTCGATGTCAATATTGATACTGCATTTGATCAGGAGTCTAAGCCAGGAGTCACCGGCAGAGAGATTGTGCAGAATGGGAATTTTACTCTAAGCTGACACCTTGAAGGTGACAATAGTGATTCCATATCAGTGCCTTCCTTTGACTCCTGTCAGAAGTAAACACAAATTTGTCTATACTGCCATTTTCACCTCCACGATAGCCATGGCCTTGCCTAAGATAAACCTGGAATGAGCTCACTATTATAAAAATGTTCCATATGGACAGGGATATAAACCACTATATCCAAAACCAGTAAAAAATGCAAATAGTAGCTTTAGATACCTAGCAACTTCAGATATATAGTCTTTAATTACAAAATCATAATCAATTCTTTAAAAATGAAAATTAGACTTACAAATTAATCAAGCTGTATGAGACTATAAATGAACATTCAAAAAGAAGCAACTAATATTTTTAAATTTAAAATATAATTATTGAAACTTAAAA